GGGTGAGTTCAACCAACTCAGTGAGGGAATAATATTTAATGTACATTTTAGATTATTTTTCATATAAATATTTTATCAGATGATTTATCTTGATATATATATATATATATATATATATATATATATATATATATATATACATATACATACTAAACATATTATCATAACATAGCGGAATACATGTCAGAGATCAGATGACACCCGAAGGTGACCACTGTGGGATGATCAGTCACCACAGGCTGATGCCTCTCTCACTAGCTAGGTATACAGAATACTATGTGCACATAGGCTAACTACTCTCCGTTAGCATGGAGTTACTGACAAGTCCTATATCAATACATAATAGATATTCACAGAATCATCAATTAAAAATATATCATATCAGATAGAATTTAGCTCGATAGAATGCGAGTGCAAATTTTAAGAATAGATGAGTACTCCGAAAACAAAGCAAAATATATAAATATAAATATTCAAGAGATTAACTAATCATACTCATCATATAATCAACATATATATTTACTTATATTATATGCATATTAAAGATTATCCCACTCACCCGAAAAATATAGAACTAAAGGAACGTCAGACGAAAGACCCGGAAATCCTATTGAGGATCGTTAGGAGAACCTACAACAATATATGAAATATACTAGAAAAAAACTCAAATAAAATATCTCAATGCATAAAATAAAACTAGGTTTACTCTCCTAGATTTAGGGACTGAAACGATAATTATCCAAATAGGGACCAAAATGTAATTTTACCAAAACTGGACCAAACTATAAATATATAACCATACTGAAATTTCACCCACAAACCATCCTTCATTCTGTTCAGAACGAACTAGGGACCTAAAAGTAATTTTTATAAAGTTTAGGGACTAAAATGCAAATTCCCAAAATTTAGGGACCAAGCTAAAAATATTTCAAATCAATTATCAAACTGAGATTTATCATCCTTAACCTCATAATAACACTGTCCAGAATCTCAAAATACTATTAGGGGTCAAATTATAATTTTCCCAAAGTTTAGGGACTAAACTGTAATTTCTTAAATTTAAGGACCAAACTGAAAATATTCCAAATCAATTATCAAACTGAGATTCATCATCCTTAACCTCATAATAACACTATCCAGAATCTCAAAATACCATTAGGGGTCAGATTATAGTTTTCCCAAAGTTTAGGGACTAAACTGTAATTTCCACAAATTGAGGGACCAAATTGAATTTTCATCATCTTCAACCTCAAACCCAGAATTGTTCACAGATTACCTACTGTTCTTTCCAGACTTCCAACTCAAAATTCACAATTTACACAAATCATAACTCAACATCATCATCTTTACCAACAATCTCTCAAAATCAACTAATTAATCAATTACCCACAACAATCAACCTTATAACATTCAAATTAATTCATCAATTAACCCAAAACACAAATTTTCAAAACCCTAATATTTATCAAAATATAAATTTAAATTTAAAACAATACATTTATACATTTAACAACCTAAATCTTACCTTTAAAGTTATTTCCTCTTAATCTCTTTCCTTTCCCTTCTCTTCCCCTCTTTTCTCTTCTTCTTCTTCCTTCTCCCTCTCTTACGTTTGCTCTCAAAAATACAGCTCTCTCTTTTGTTTTATTTTTCTTCCTATTTATATTTATTAACTATTATTTAATTACCATAATACCCTTTATTCATTTTACTCACTTTTAAGCCTTCAAGGGCTTTGTTGCCTTTTCCTATTCCTTTTTGTTTTTCAAAACATTACAGAGGAGGTGGAGGAGGCAGCTTCGGAATAATTACTGCTTGGAAGATAAAATTGGTCCCTGTACCATCAACTGTGACCATGTTTACAGTTACCAAGTCCTTAGAGCAAGGTGCTACTAAGATCTTATTTAGATGGCAACAGGTTGCTGATAAACTTGACGAGGATCTCTTTGTCAGGGTCAATATACAGACAGTTAATGTCAGTAACAAAGGTGGAAGGACTATAACGACTTCCTATGATGCCTTGTTTCTTGGTGATGCCAACAGACTTCTCCAAGTAATGCGAGAAAGCTTTCCTGAACTGGGTTTGACAAGACAGGAGTGTATCGAAACAAGCTGGATCAATTCTACTGTATATCTTGGTGGCTACACCATCAAGATATCTCCTGAAGTTCTACTTCAAAGAAGAAATATATTGAAGCACTACTTCAAAGCCAAGTCAGACTTTGTTAGACAACCTATACCTGAAACTGCTCTCAAAGGTTTATGGGAAATAATGTTAGAAGAAGACAAACCAGCTATAGTTCTTACCCCTTATGGTAGAAACATGGGCAAAATTTCCGAATCTCAGACTCCTTTCCCTCATAGAAAAGGTACCTTGTTCATGATCCAGTACTTGGCCAATTGGCGAGATGCGAAAGAAAATGTTAGAAAACATACCGATTGGACTAGGATGGTTTACAGGTACATGAAACCTTGTGCTTCCATGTTTCCAAGACAAGCATATGTCAATTACCGGGACCTTGATTAGGGAATGAACAAGGAGACTAACACAAGCTTTCCAGGAGTAAGTGGTTGGGGCACTAAGACTTCAAGGACAACTTCTACAGACTGGTACGGGTGAAGACCAAAGTTGATCCTGACAACTTCTTCAGGCATGAACAGAGCATCCCAACTCCTCCTCATCATATGAGGAAAAGAAATTGAAGAGACATTGGTCAAGGACAGAGAAAGGTTCCTTGGAGGATCACAGTAGTGTCTAGTTTCTGACCTCAATTTCTTTCAATAGCTTATCTTTCTAGATTATGTTAATTAAAAGTTTTTGATGCTGCATTAAGATGTTGCAAGAAAGTACTTACTCGATATGATTTTAGTGATGTTGAACTTTTCTATGTTACATAATGCTTATAGTATGAATATTATTACCAAAAAAAAAAAATAGAACTGTTAGTAAAATATGCAACCCGTCACACCGACTCACTTTCCTGTTAAATATATTTTGTTAAAACAATGAGATAATTAAACATTTAATGCATTAAATGTGTGATTAGAAAAATATGAAATTCATTAGATTTTTAACCATTCATATAATTATATTATATCAGTAATGTCATAAGTCAATGTCTCATTGAACAAATCAGATAAAAAAAGAAAATGCAGAGTAATAATAAATGCTAAGATAATGTCAGGATTAGTTAGCTCAACCTCGGGGTCAACTATTCACAATTCTTATATAAGCAAACCATCTGAAACTTCAATTCTGAACAAGCCAAAGCAAGAAAATCAAGCAAAATAGTGCGCTCAACTTCTTCCATTCCTTCGAATCTTAAATCAATGCATGGTTTACAGCGCGGGCGCGCAAATATATATAGTTCTTCAATAAGTTAAACCAATATACAAGGCACGAACGCCTTGCAAGCTAACAGTGCTGGGGTTGGTGCTGGGGCGACAGTGTGTGCATGGACTTCCGGCAGGAATTTGTCCTGCAGTTGGTGTTGGTGGGCATTTGTGTGGAGGCGGGTTCGGTACCATGTTGAGAAAATATGGCCTAGCTTCTGACCATATTCCTGATGCTCACAAATTTGCTGTGAATGGAAGAGTTCTTGATAGAAAACTGAACCTCTTTTTTTTAGACTACTGTTTTTTGTCCATTTCTCCTCAATTTTGGCGTCAAAAACCCCCTGCCTCCATAAATTTGAATTTTGCTGTCATTTACAATTATTATGAATGCAATATTTGAGAGTTGGTGAAGTTATGCCAATGGCAGACGGATGAGTGACGCATTATAACACCTTGTATTTTTTTGGCTGCTACCTTGATGGCCTCTTTTTTTAATTAATTTAGTGATTTAAAAAAATTAAAAAATTAAAAGGAAAAAAGTACACGACACGCAAGTATGTGTACTCTGATGGTTATGTAAGTATGTAATAGCTTGCTTCGATTGACAAATTCATTCTAGATTATTTTGATCTTATTATGTAATGCAAAAAAGTTACAATCATTGTGTATACTCAAATCCAATAAACCTCTTGACAAACAAAATTAAGAAGTCAGAAACCTCCCGATTTAAGCCAGAATAACATTATTGAAAATTAACAATTGTGATACCTATTGCACAAAGAATTGGATTCGCTCTCAATAATATCTTAGAAAAAAAATACTCTTTCTTTTATAATTAAATTCTCTTTTTTATTATAAAAAATAATATTAATTCAATATAAAATGAGGATGATACTGCTAGCATCGCATAATTGAACTGTAATGAATTCCTCTTACAGTTCAATATGTGACAGAGGTTAAAGGTGCATACACATTGTCAAAGCAATAAAATCAAAAAATTGCCTAAAACCATATCATAATAACATTATTATTGAAACATGTTATCTCAAATTTTGCAAGTTTGTCAAGTATATAATCTGATAAAATTCAGTTTGAACCATTATTTGAGACATCATAAGAACATTATTATTAGAACAACATATAAACATGTTAACAAAAGCACTTCTCAAACTCTAGTTTGAGTATTTGAGACAAAATTTGAGAATTTACAGCTTCAAAGTCAAGAAGGGAAATTGTTGACCAAGAATAACTCTAGAAACAAAATAAAATCTTAACAAAATCTGAGTTTGTTTACACTATCAGAGTTTATTTATTGTTGCTATTCTAATTCTAATGGCTATCTTTTATTCTATATAACAGAAAATCATATATGCTTGGAGAATATCTTGAAATTCTGTTTTTTTATTATATAAATAAACATATTAAAATTCAATAAAGATATGTTCTGCTGCATCTACAATTAGAAAATTTTGTTTTCTCTTCAATATAAACATCAGATGTTGACCATTTCAATCATGCAGAAGTTTCTTATTTCAAAAGTCAAATGTTGTTGGTATGAATCTTATGAATGTTAACAGTAGAGAATTTTCTGTAGGTAAATTACAAAAATTTGATAGTGGTTAAATACGCCTGGTTGAAAAAATTTGAGATTGCTGAAAATATTGATCATTCAGATTCATAATCCAAAAGTCAAGTTCTGAATGGACAAAATCATCTAGGACAAGATAACTCAACTTCCGGCTCAAATTTCACAGCACCACTATAAGAAAACTTTGTGAGCAACAATCTTGAAACAGCTAGAAAATCAGGAAAATGGTGTCTTCAAGATCTTCCATTCTTTCGATGCTCCTGATCCTCCTCCTAACTCCATTTGTAGTTTCACTTCATCTTCAGGATAGGTTTCTAAAATGTCTCTCAAGAAATTCTGAATCATCCTTTCCTTTCTCCACTGTCTTGTATGCTCCAAACAACTCATCATTCACTAGTATTTTACTCTCTACTGCTCAAAACCTCAGGTTTACGCTGCCTTCAGTACCGAAACCTGAGTTAATCTTCACTCCTTTGAAAGAATCTCACATCCAAGCTGCGGTTATTTGCTCAAAGAAGCTTGAGATTCACCTTAGAGTCCGTAGTGGAGGCCATGACTATGAGGGACTCTCTTATGTATCTGATATTGCGAGACCTTACATAGTTGTCGACCTTGCGAAGTTCCGATCCATTAGCGTTGATATTGAAGATAACAGTGCGTGGGTTCAGGTGGGTGCCACGAATGGTGAACTTTACTACAGAATTTCTGAGAAAAGCAAAACTCATGGCTTCCCAGCTGGTACTTGCTCAAGTTTAGGTATGGGGGGGCACATTTCAGGAGGTGCATATGGTGCCATGCTGCGAAAATATGGCCTTGGAGCAGATAATGTCGTTGATGCACATATAATTGATGTTCATGGAAGACTTCTTGACCGAAAATCCATGGGCGAAGATCTTTTTTGGGCCATCAGAGGAGGTGCAGGGGGCAGCTTCGGAATCGTCACCGCCTGGAAGTTAAAATTGGTTTCTGTACCATCAACGGTGACAGTATTTACAGTTACTAAGACTTTAGAACAAGGTGCAACGAAGATCCTTTATAGATGGCAAGAAATTGCTGATAAACTAGACGAGGATCTTTTCATCAGAGTACTCATTCAGACAGCTAACGTCACCTCCCAAGCTAAAAGAACTATTGCTACCACTTACAATGCCTTGTTTCTTGGTGATGCCACCAGACTTCTTCAGATAATGCACCACAGCTTCCCTGAATTAGGTTTGCCCCGACAGGATTGTATTGAAACAGACTGGATCAATTCTACCGTGTACCTTGCTTTCTTCCCAAATAATACTCCTCCTGAAGTTTTACTTCAACGGAGGAATATAGTCAAGCTATTCTTCAAAGCCAAGTCGGACTACGCCAAAGAACCCTTACCTGAAACTGCACTTGAAGGGTTATGGGATATTATAATGGAAGAAGAGCTTCCTACAGTAGCATTTACTCCTTATGGTGGAAAGATGAGTGAAATTTCTGAGTCTCAGATTCCTTTCCCTCGTAAAAAAGGTATCCGGTTCATGATTTTGTACTCGGCCAATTGGCAAGATGCAAAGGAAAATGTTGCAAAGCATGTAGATTGGACTAGGAAGGTTTACAAGTACATGCAACCTTATGTTTCCAAGCATCCAAGGGAAGCATATATCAATTATAGGGATCTTGATTTGGGCATAAACAAGAGGACTAACACAAGCTTTACAGAAGCAGGTACTTCCTGGGGTCTTAAGTACTTCAAGAATAACTTCCACAGATTGGCATTTGTGAAGGCCAAAGCTGATCCTGACAACTTCTTCTGGCAAGAGCAGAGCATCCCACCTCTTCCATTTCACATGAGATGAAGAGTTGGAGAGATATTAAGCATATTTTTTTTACTCGCATGTTCAATTTCCATGTTGTATTCTGATTGAACCAATGTTTTGAAGTTACTTGGCAATTTGACAGAAAGAAATCCCTGCCTTGTTGCCCAATTTCATATTTTATTGTTCATTTCAAAAATAATCTTGCTTGTTATCCCTTCTTTCTAATCCATTTGGTAAAGTAGTTGACTAAACTGAAATCGATAGGGGATGTTAAATGGCATTGAAAATCTTGTTGGACTTCATACTAATATGTCCAGATAAGAATAAATATGATTAGTTTTATATTTGATCTTTATATTGTCAAATTATTGTCTACAATAAGCTACCAGCTGCCAATTATTGTCAAACTTCGAGCTTTATTTTATATATTCTGGCATTGGAGTGTCAAAACATATGATTTTGTAGGCGTTTCTTCAATAAGTTAAACCAATATACAAGGCACGAACGCCTTGCAAGCTAACAGTGCTGGGGTTGGTGCTGGGGCGACAGTGTGTGCATGGACTTCCGGCAGGAATTTGTGCTGCAGTTGGTGTTGGTGGGCATTTGTGTGGAGGTGGGTTCGGTACCATGTTGAGAAAATATAGCCTAGCTTCTGAACATATTCTTGATGCAAATATGATGTGAATGGAAGAGTTCTTGATAGAATACTGAACCTCTTTTTTCAGACTGTTTTGTGTCCATTTCTCCTCAATTTTGGTGTCAAAAACCTCCTGCCTCCATGAATTTGAATTTTGCTTTCATTTACAATTATTATGAATGCTAAATTTGATAGTTGGTGAAGTTATGCCAGTGGCAGACCGGTGAGTGACGCATTATAACACTTTGTATTTTTTCGGCCACTACCTGGATGGCCTCTTTTTTTAATTAATTTACTGATTTAAAAAAAAAAATTATAAGGAAAAAGGTAAACGACACGCATGTGTACTTTAATGGAAAAAAGTAAACGACATGCAAGAACGTGTACTCTAATGGTTATGTATGTATGTAATAGCTTGCTTCAATTGACAAATTCATTGTAGATTATTTTTTTTTATTATGTAATGGAAAAATGTTACAATCATTAACGTGTAAACTCAAATCCAATAAACCTCTTGATGAACAAAATTAAGAAGTCAGAAACCTCATGATTTTTATTTCTTGCCATCTATAAAGGATCTTTAGTTTTGAGTTTACCCAAATACCATACGAGAAAGTAACTTCAAAGAAGAAATTTATTTGAGCCAAAACAACATTATTGAAAATTAAGAATTGTGATACCGATTGCACAAAGAATTGGATTGCTCTCTATAATATCTTAGAAAAAAAATACTCTTTTTTTTTATAATCAAATGCTCTTTTTTTATTACAAAAAATAATATTAATCCAATACAAGGATGACATTGCTCGCATTGCATAATTGAATTCCTCTTATAGTTCAATGTTTTTTTTTTTTTTTTGATAAGCAACATGAAGCCTATAAAAAGCAATGATAAAATTTCAATGAGGGCCTGTTGGGATAAAGCAATAAAGCCATAAAACCAAAAGAAAGCAATCGAGAACAGAACATATGTCACAAAAGCAGGGGGGCTTTCAAGGGAATATGATATCCTTCTTTAAAAATAGTCAACAGTGCCGGCTAACAAAATTAAAAACATGTTGAAAATCCCTTGAAAGATGAAGCTGGAAATAATACTCATGAGGATGAGCATGGCCTGCCAATATCAGGAATTCTATCAAATTAGCACCCTCAATTAGAAACGTGATTCAAGAAAATTATCTGAACAACATCTTCTCAAACTACAGGAAACACTTGAATCCTCAAAATCTGCTTCATAGAAAACGCACACAGGGTAAAGAGCTAACAAACTCCAATTACCTCTAAAGATCTTGAAGAATCAACTTCTCTCCAGAACAAAATATTCTATCACGCCAACCAGTGGTATGCTTCTTTAAGCCCTTCATCTTCTGGTCAAGAATAAATAAAGAACCCTTACCTGAAACTGCACTTGAAGGGTTATGGGATGTTATACTTCAAGAAAAGCTTCCTACAGTAGCATTTACTCCTTATGGTGGAAAGATGAGTTAAATTTCTGAGTCTCAGATTCCTTTCCCTCGTAAAAAAGGTATCCGGTTCATGATTTTGTACTCGGCCAATTGGCAAGATGTAAAGGAAAATGTTGCAAAGCATGTAGATTGGACTAGGAAGGTTTACAAGTACATGCAACCTTATGTTTCCAAGCACATGCAACCTTATGTTTCCAAGCATCCAAGGGAAACATGTGTCAATTACAGGGATCTTGATTTGGGCATAAACAAGAGGACTAACACAAGCTTCACAGAAGCAGGTACTTCCTGGGGTCTCAAGTGCTTCAAGAATAACTTCCATAGATTGGCATTTGTGAAGGCCAAAGTTGATCCTGACAACTTCTTCTGGTATGAGCAGAGCATCCCACCTCTTCCATTTCACATGAGATGAAGAATTGGAAAGACATTAAGCTATTATATATTTTTTTACACGCATGTTCAATTTCCATCTTGTATTCTGATTGAACCAATGTTTTGAAGTTATTTAGCAATTTGACAGAAAGAAATCCCTGCCTTGTTGCCCAATTTCACATTTTATTGTTCATTTCAAAAACAAGCTTGCTTGTGATCTCTTCTTTCTAACCCATTTGGTGAAGTAATTGACTAAACTGAAATCGATAGGGGATGTTAAACAGTGGCATTGAAAATCTTGTTGGACTTTATACTAATATGTCCAGATGAGAATAAATATGACTAGTATTATATTTGATCTTTATATTGTCAAATTATTGTCTACAATAGGCTACCAGCTGCCAATTATTGTCAAACCTTGAACTTTATTTTATATATTCTGGCATTGGAGTGTCAAAACATATGATTTTGTAGGCGTTTCTTCAATAAGCTAAACCAACATACAAGGCACGAACGCCTTGCAAGATAACAGTGCTGGGGCTGATGCTGGGGCGACAGTTTGTGAATTGTATTATTGGGTTGCTGAGAAAAATCCTGTGCATGGACTTCCGGCAGGAATTTGTGCTGCAGTTGGTGTTGGTGGGCATTTGTGTGGAGGTGGGTTCGGTACCATGTTGAGAAAATATGGCCTAGCTTCTGACCATATTCTTGATGCTCAGATAGTTGATGTGAATGGAAGAGTTCTTGATAGAAAATCAATGGGAGAGGATCTGTAATGGGCTATTAGAGGAGGTGGGGGAGCAAGTTTTGGGGTTATCCTTCCCTGGAAGGTGACCTTCCTCATGCTCCAACAACTTTACTGTTTGGCAAGACACTAGAGCAAGGAGCGACTAGGCTTGTTCACAAGTGGAACATATGGGGCCAAATCTTGAAGAAAATTTGTTCATTAGGGTTATTACAGAAGCTGTTGGAGATACAAGGAAAGGGAACAGAACAATCCATGCTACTTTTAAGCACTCTCTTTGTTTCTTGGAAGAATTGATCACCTTCTTGAATAATGTTTTCCTTGACTTGGGCTTAAGAGCATAGATTGTACTGAAATGAGCTGGATTGAGTCTATTCTTTACTTTTCAGGGTACCCTAAAGAGGAAACTATAGAAGCCCTTGTAAATATAGCAGATTTTAATGAGCACCCTCTAAAGCAGAACTCTTTTGAAAAAGTTAAGGAACTGGTGTTTGGAAGAAGCAAGAAGAGAAGCCGGTATTAATCAGGGACGGAAGAATGGAGGAAATATCAGAATCAGAAACTTCATTACCATATAGAGAAGCTATACTGTACAGCATACAGTTTGGTCAAGTCAGGTCATCAAATTGGATAAGGTACATATACGAGAGCATGACTTCTTACATGTGTAAGAATCCCAGACTTGAAAATCAAAGAAGGGAGCATACTTGCTTAAGCACTGGATCATCCTTAAAAATTAATAAATTTGAAAGATGTTCTAAACTCCAACCTTCAAGAATTTTTATTTAGAGGATTTAAACTAAAAAAAGTATTTTCAAACAAGCTTTGATATAATCGAAGGCGGGCCCTTTTCATGTCTTAAATGTCCCACTCATGCTAAGATCAGTGTATAATGGAACGATAATATTGAGAAAAATTGGGGTGATGGCCCTTGTCGTATAGACAAACACCTTCTCCACAATGCATGTGAACATAACAACAGTCCCTGCTAATTGCCGAACGAAATAAAAATGACAAAATGCAGTTGATATGGAGAGCCTGAAATCTCTAATTAGGGTATCAATGGTGTCTTCATGTAAATATTTGCTAGTAACAAACGGCCTCTCACAATATCCCTAGTTGACAGTCAAATACAAAACATAAATACCCAAGATGGTAACCCCAGAAGTAGAAGGAAAAATGAATCACATTGTTCTTGTTTCTCTTTTGCTTTCAGTTTCATGGGCAACTTGTAGTAGTAAAATCCATGAAAACTTCATTCAATGCATGTCAACTGAGTTCAATTCCTATACTAAATCCTTTCAAACCATATTCACTCCTCAATCCCCTTTGTATTCATATATCTTGCAATCATCTAAACAAAATTTGAGATGGTTGAACTCCACATCAAAGCCGCAACTCATCATTACTCCATTTCATGAGTCTGAAATCCAGGCAGTAATTCTTTGTAGCAAGAAGCAAGGGTTACAAGTCAGAGTTCGAAGCGGTGGCCATGACTATGAAGGTTTATCTTTTCTATGCAAGACACCATTCATCATCATTGATCTTGTCAATCTTAGAGGGATTGAGATGGATATTGAAGATGAAACAGCATGGGTTCAAACTGGTGCAACACTTGGTGAGCTTTATTATGCTATTGCAAAGAAAAGCAGAGTTCATGGATTCCCAGCAGGATTATGCCCTACTGTGGGCGTTGGTGGACACGTTACTGGAGGTGGGTTTGGTATCTTGTTAAGGAAATATGGCCTTGCTGCAGATAATGTCATTGATGCTTACTTGATTGATGTAAATGGGAGGATTCTTGATAGACAAGGAATGGGAGAAGACTTGTTTTGGGCTATTCGAGGGGGTGGTGGAGCAAGCTTTGGAATCATACTGTCATGGAAGATCAAGCTGATTCGGGTTCCACCAACTGTGACTGTATTCACTGTGCCAAAAACTATTGAACAAGGTGCCACCAAGCTTGTCCATAGGTGGCAATACATTGCAGGTAAACTACACGAAGATCTCTTCATCAGAATCGTCATTCAGAATGTTGGAGGAGAAAGTACTTCAAACAAGAAGACAGTGGAAGCTTCCTTCAACTCACTGTTTCTTGGAAGCATTGACAGACTAATCACCTTGATGAATGAAAGTTTCCCTGAGTTGGGATTGGTACCTGAAAATTGCACAGAAATGAGTTGGATTGAGTCTACTGTCTATTTTGCTGGATTTCAGAAGGGAAGCCCTTTGGAGGTCTTACTTGACAAGACTCAACTATACAAAGCCAAATTCAAGGCAAAATCTGACTTTGTAACAGAACCCATACCTGAATTTGGACTTGAAGGAATATGGGAACGGTTCTTAGAGGAAGGGCTAGTGTTCATGATTATGGACCCTTTCGGTGGGAGAATGAATGAGATTCCAGAATCTCATATTCCTTTCCCTCACAGGGAAGGAAATTTGTACAACATTCAATACCTGGTGAAGTGGGATGAGGATGAGGCTAGAGCAACACACAAGCATGTAAGTTGGATCCAGATGCTATATAGGTACATGAAACCATATGTTTCCAAATCCCCAAGGGCTGCGTATCTTAATTATAGAGATCTTGACTTAGGCACTAACAAGCATGCAAACACAAGTTATTCTGAGGCTAAGGCTTGGGGTATGAAGTACTTCAAGGGCAATTTCAAGAGATTGGTTCAGGTGAAAAGCAAGGTTGACTCTGACAATTTCTTCAGAAGCGAACAAAGTATTCCAAGCATCCATACATAAAGGAGAAGGCAGTGCAAAGAAAAAGAAATAATGTGTAATGTGTTCCTTGTGAATGCAAGGCCCTTTTTAATCGGCTCCACAGGCTTTAGGTTCAAAACAGGGAACCAATAAGGGGGCAATAATCCCTCCTATAAATTTTACTTGTGACAGATCACCTAGTAAAATTTAACTATTTAGTTAGAATCCAGCAGCAAACTAACTGCTGAGTGCAGAGAGCGAAGTAGTAGCATCAAGTGGATCAATTTCCTAATAATACCCACAGAAATTACAACTTTCAACTACATTACGTCCAAGACCAAAAAGGAACAGAGGAATGAGACTAACCTCGCAGTGGCAGTAATTTCTTGATACAGCACTTGGGAGCAATGTCACAATTGCAAAGACACGCACTATTCAGAACCCGCACCCAGATATTCTTGGCCGGGCTATGCCTAGGTCATGTAAGAAGAGACTATAAGCCTTATAACTGAACATTGGCCTTGCAAGCAGCAACATCCTCAATATGAGCATGAATTGTGCTATCGTAACAGGACAATTGAGGATTTTTACAGGATTATAAAAGCACAGCATGCTCCACTATCACCTGTGCAACTAAGCCAACGAAGTAAACATATAAAATGGCAGGACAAGGAACCGCTGAGAAAAAAATTTGACGCACAAAAGAATTCTTCATGAAGATCTGTGTTTCATATAGAATGCCTATGCTCATCTTATATTCTTTTACCTAAAAATGTAAATTGTAAATTGAAATGGTTCGTTAATCAAATCATGCAAGCTCGGGCAAAATGCTACAGAAGGTGCTTCAAAAAATTTACAAAGTTATTGAAGGTAAGAGATAGGACTCATACAGAAAGGCTTTCACCACGAGCTACATCTCAAAATTTGTGTCGCTAGCTTCTGCCGACTCAGAACTCAAAAAAAGGACAAAACTTGTTGTATGGAGAATTCCATCTCAGAATGGAAAGCCTACTAAAAAAGTGAATCCCAAAAAAATTTCAACATTTTTTTAGTTTCAGCAATATTACAAATTGATAACCACTCGCTATTGAGAAACTCCCGCATCAAACTTGAAGAGTATTGTTGAAGATGGTAATATATTCTAATTGTAACTATGCAATTGTCTCAGCGGACATCAGAAGATGGTAAGAGGCTGAGTGACAATGCTTGCTGCTCCTTGGTCAGTGAAGAAAACCAGCTTCTTATATGATCAATGGAAACGGATTGACGTGACATTGCTGTGAGGCAAGAATTGCTCCGGATAAGCTTCTCAAAATCAAGAGAAAGTAGACCTAGCAAAGCAGTGGCCAAAGCAATTTGAACAGGAAGAGCCATTCTGATGGTAGCATCCCGTGAAAGAAAACCAGACAATTTACACCTCAAGTTTTCTACTCCATTATCTTCATAGCCAAAAGCTGAAACTCCGAGCCTGAATCAACATGGTAGATTAAATCATCCAGTAATTAGTAATGCAAGACAAAAATCGAATTTTGTACTGTCCAAGATAAATGAAGAAAATGTCACCAAGTAGGTTTGCTAAAAGAGTAATTAGTAATCCATAACATGAGAAACAAAATTTATTCTGTCCTAAAAGACAAATCTAAATTTTTGGAGTGCTATATATATATATTTCAATTAACTTCACATTTCTAACTTCCTCGATGCATATTCATATCATGGTAATGGATCACCCATTAATATTCAAAGGTAAACAGCTTTTCAAGATATGACAGTAACTAATAATAGGCTAATTGGTTAAAAGCTACCCTGAACTTTTGATCAACAGGAGATTAGTCCCTAACCTTTTTTTATTCTGATTTAGGTCCTAAGCCTATTTTTTGATCAGCAATGTAGTCCTTTCATCAACTTCAACAGCAAGTGTGGTCCCGTGAATATGCAGAAGTATAACACGTATCTCAAGACACGTGTCATACTTGTATGTGATCAGGTGACCACATGCGCTAATGAATGGATGGAAAACAAGACACAAGGACTACATTTCTGGTTCAGGACCTAAATCAGAATAAAAAATGTTGACTAATGTCCTGTGAAACAAGTTGATGATCGTTTTTAACCAATTAGCCTAGATAATATATAAACATAAACAAAAAACGGATCATGCTAAACATACCTTCCAAGTTGACCAAGGAGAATAACTACAGCAGCAGCAAAGTTGTCTAACTCAGTTTTTTCTAGCATTCCCAACAGCTCAGGTATAATTTTGCTACAGGTCCACTCCCAGCTCTGCATATAGACAAGAAAGACAGGTGAACATAAGGCTTTGCCACATTTCTTTTCAGGACTATGCATAATTGAGTAGTTTACACAAAAGATGTACACGAATGGAAACACTGATACAAAACCAAAAGGGGAAACCACATACCATATTGCAAGCAAGCAACTCAACCAAAGATAGAAGATCACTGAGGCCACACAAAGTCTCATTCATGATATAATTTGATCTCGCAGGCATCACACACTTTTTTAAACTACAGGATGTATCACAATTCATATCAAGGGCAGAATCAACCTCTTCTTGATTTAAACTCAGTTTAGCTGTATCCTTACAGCATAGTACATTGGAATTTGACAAGCTGGGTGACTTCATTGGATGATGCATGATTCCAGAAACAGCACAATTCTGAAGCTTTTCCAAGAGCACTGATGTAACAGTATCTATGGAAACAGCATCTGTTGAGAATGGGCATTTAGCACATGGATGGAACATTCCACCATTGTACCTGGTAGGACTAGAAGCTGCTGAAGCATCTGGTGAATCCCCCCCTTCAAGAAACATTATTATTGATTTCAACACAGTCATTGTCAAATTGTGCTCCCTCGGGAAGAAAAACTTCTCTCCAGCCAGGTAAGCAAAAATGTGTAGTATAGTAAGTACAAAAACAGTATCACATTTGTGCATCAGCAGAAGACTGTATGAAGCCTGACAAAGAAATCCAGTGCAGTCAATTGCTGCACATATTGAAGCTAGTATGATACTTCCACCCACTAAAAGGTCAGCTGAAGCTGATTTGGAGGCAAATTTTATATTAACACCGTCCAGAAGGATGTCTATTATTGAATCGCATCCACTCAATGATTCAGAAGATAGATCCACATATATCATCAGTTTCCCATCTAGGAGGAATTCTTCAATGAGGCCAAGCAGTTCATCCAAACAACATACCTCTGCAAACAAGTTTCTTGCCTCAACATCAGAGACAACTGCAATCAAGAAAACACAAGAGTTAGGCTCAACAAAAAATAACCTAAGAGAATAAATACTAGATCATATATTGCAAGGACAATAGAATATTTATAGCATGTCAATATCAGAAGAAAAAAAATTACAACAAATAGACATACCTGCAAATATGTCTTTGGCAAAAGAATCTAAGCAGAAAAGAAAGTCCGGATCCGAAAAGCTGCCAAATTGCCCCCAATTGCAAGCAGAGAAATTCAGCAGCAGCAACGTGAAAAATGTGCAAGCCTTCTCCCTGAAAGATGGAGACAGAAAACAAAGGAGAAAAATTCAATGTTATAATCTAACCAAGCCAGTGTTGTCAAGAGGCGTTGAGGCGCTCGCCTAGGCACTCCAAGCAAGGGGAGGCCCCAGCACCTTTATTAGCCTCAGACGTTGGATTTCAATGAGGAGCCACCTAGGTGAGCACCTTGTGGCACTAAGGCTAGCACCTGCTTGAAGTTCTACCCTTTCTGTTGGATTTTTCTTTATTTTTTTAATTTACCACAAGAAACAACTTAGGGGTATTTTTGTAAAAAACAAAGATTAGGGTGAAAAAAATAAAAAAAATCATTAAAGTGGAAGATGAACCAACAATGAAGGACACTTAAAAGAGAAACACCAACCACACTTTCTTTTTTCAACAGTAGGAGGCGAAGAACAACACATTTGTACAGTTAATACTTTAATTTTTTTCCAAAAAAGTGCATTATAGTTTGAGAGATAGGATTTCGATCATAATCATGAAATGGAGGATATGGAGGATTCAAGTGAAGGAGAGGAAAGCATGGATGGAGATGTTTTTGAAGATTAATGAATAATGTTGATGATATTTAATTTTTCTTTTTAATCTAACAGGCTACTTACTACTATAAATTATCTTATTGTGTTTAAAGGGTGAAAAATATAACTTTATATGACTATGTTATGGTATTTTATATTTCCCTTTGATTTTCTAATGATCTAATCTTAATTGGAAAGATATATATTTTAGATTTATATAATATAATATAATATAATATAAATTTTTTTTAATTTATAGCATATTGCCTTGGTTTCACTCAGTGCCTTTAAACGCCTTTTGCCTTTGACAACACTGAACCAGGCACACAATCTCTATTAACTAACTTGGGAATTAAACTCATGTAAAACTCTACAGCGTTGCAGATATGACATGCTTGAATAGAGATGCATTACTTACTTGGGTAAACTGTTCTCTTCCATTTTTAGAGCACAAAGGATCTTTTGAACCAAACAAACTGCTTGAGTGTCCAAAGAACAGCGAGTCGTACAAGTTCGAGTCGCAGATAATACTCTAGACATGCTTATACTGTCCTTCATATCTGAATGCATCACACAGTATTTAGGGATATTGTCGTGTCTAGAACCAGGTTCACCTTCAATTGGAAACTTCAGGCCCTCATATCTAGAACTTGGTATATTCAGCATCTCAATCTCCAATCCCAATCCAGGACCTCTGGTCTGACCATCAGAAGCTTTTCCAGCATCAACAGCGTTACCGGTGCCACTTCTATTGCCTAATGTATCAAGGGAATCTGCATGGCCTCCATTTTCATGAAGTACATCAGCACAGGAAATTCCAAAGGAGCAGTCTTTTAATTGTTTGGAACTAATTTCAGCATCAATGACATCTAATCTGAAAGAAGGCACTAGAGATTCCTTTCCATTAGGTAAACTTCCAGGGAAGCTTTCATCAAGCAAGGGTTTAAAATTATCCATGTTATCAGATATTTCAGCACCTGAAGACCCTATCTCAGGAAGAATTGGGGACATAGGCATTTCCATTGCTCTCCTGTAACATTCCTCATCTGCAGTGTTATCCAAGTCCAACAATTTCATATAATCCCCATTGGCTACTTCCTCAAAACTTACCATACCTTCAGGGCTGCTTTCAAAAGAATAACTAAAACCTTCCCTGCATGCTTTTGAGGCTTCCAATAAATTATTGGCAGTAGCGGAGATATATCCACAGGCATTTGCATCTTCATGGACCTCTTTCCCAGCTATTTCAGTCTTCTCGGGCTGATCTATGCCAGATAAACAGTGGACAATTACATTCTCTTCATGAGATATCTTTCTTTTCTTATGAATCCTCCCATGCTTACCATATGAACCACCTTGAATATTAGATTCTACATATTTGGCTTCTTCCTGTGGTTTTTCAATTTGCCTGTTTAACATACCATGCAAGGCAGAGAGTTTCTCTTCCATCTGCAGGTGCAGCTTCTTACCCTCCGAATACAGAAGTTCAACAGATTCAACTGCATCAAGGATCCTCCTCTTCCTACCATGGCTATTAACTCTTCCAATCACATCAAAGCTATGAGGACTTCTAACACTATTGTCAGCTACCACAGCAAGATTTTCATTGTGCTGTACTTCAGTGACTTCATCAGAAATTCCAGAAATTGTTGTCTGCGCCCTAAAGTTATCTTCTACCAAGTTCTTTGAAGTGGGAAAAGATGGACCCCCTTCCTGTGAGCCGACCAACTGACCATCAGAAAAAGATGCCGAACTGGAATTTATTGCAGAAGTCTGTAACAGTTTTTGGTTAGAGCCTCCAAGCAGAGACTCCAATTTAGAATCAATACCTGAGATGGAAGCAGCATAGTTCCCACTGGATGGAGAAACCAACGGAACTGTACAGTGAAGTGTTTGCGGGGGATGTTCAGAGACAGCCAAAGCCATGCAGCTAGGCTTCAGAAGTTCACTTTCATTATTAGAAAACATCTGACATTGTTCTTCTGCACACAGTTTTCTGTTCAACTTTGACCTTTGCATGGTTCCGTGGTTTCCAAACTGCCAAGATCATCAAACAATCCAGTTAGCAAACTACTAGCCGAGGCTTGTGCAGATTTTAATTACATAGAATGGAACAAATGTATTAGAAACAACAATGAATGCACAAGCAAGGACAAAATAACACTGATTTAAGTTCTCAAGTCCAATGATATAAATATAATTATTAAAATAAACATTGGAATAATTACTAAACTAAACATTTGAAATGCTAATCAATGTGCTACAAAAGCCATGAAAAGATGCATAATTATTCACTCAAAACATCGAATAAACATGGGAGACACCATGCTTTTCTTCAACTGATAAAAATTCAAATCTAATATGGTTTTATAGCTAGCACTAACACTCCCACATGAGAAACAAAGTGAATGTTACAAAATGATCGAGAATGAATGTGTTCTGTGTAAACTAAATAAATAAGAAGGGGAAAGAAAGCAGAGGAAGAGAGAGGAAGAACTCATGTTTCCTATTCAAAGAGTGAGGAAAGAATATTCTAACGAATATGACAATTCCAATACATATTGTTCAATTGTAAAAAATATCGACCACAGCTATCATAAACTTCAATAAAAAGATAGTATTGAGAGAAAATGTCTTTAAAGAGGCATCAGGTAACCAAGCGCATCTAAGAAAAAACAAACAGAAGCTTAGTAACGAATGTCAAATCCTGTTTGCTACATTTCAAAAATAAATTGCAGTGCCACCGTCATAAAAACAAGTGTCTTGTATTCCAAATTAAAAGTTCAAAAGAATAGGTTGTAAGAGATTCAAAAGCGAGATTGACCTTTTCCATTTTCTCTGTACCTCCATCGCTGGATGAGAAATATCTATCCAGTACATCAAGGCGAAACAACATTTGACCAAAATCAAACTTCAAGCGAGCTAGTTCTTGCTGAAGAAAACTATTACGGTTTTTTTCCATCTTAGCCACTACTTTGGCATGCTTTAATCGCATCTTTTCAAGCTTCACTTGCTTTTCCAAGAACTTCAGTTTTGTCTTTTCCACATTCATAACTTTGTCAGGTAAAACTGAAGAAGCCACAACAACTTTTTTGGAGGATTGGAGTTCCTGTATCTGCTTCTGCAATTCTTCAATCTTTATTTTATCTTCATGAAGCTGACGAGACAGCTGATCAGCACGGGATTTTTCTTCTGCTGCTATCTTCCTATTCATTTTTGATAGGTTTCTTAGCTTTTCCGCTTTCACCATCTCTGAATCTGCATGTTTTTTCTCAGTAATAGCTTTTCGCTTCTCAATATCTAACCTTTTGGTTGCTTCCTTGTAATTTAAGAACTCCAAAACCAGCTTTGATTGATCTGAATTGTTCTTCAAATTTTCCAATGAATCCCTATTTGTGGCATCTTCACCATTCGTGATTTCATCAGGTTGATCATCAAAAGTCCCACCCATATTTTTGGACTGTATGAATCCATTTATCCCCTTCTCCAGTTCCTCAATCTTTATTCTAGCATCTTCTAACTGCCGAGAAAGATTATCAGCACGAGACTTTTCCTCTATGACCTTCCTTCCATTTGTTTCAGCAAGTTTCCTTTGCTCCTTTGCTTTAGCCACCACTGAATCAGCACGTTTTCTCTCTTTCAGCACCTTGGCTTTTTCTGCTTCTAACATTTTGTTTGCATCTTCAAGCTTCAGAGTCTCAGCAACCAATTTTGATTTTGACTCAGCAGCTTCTTTTTTTAAGGACTCTAACTGACGCTGATATTCCTCAGCCTTCTGTGGTTTCTCAATTCTTTTTCTCGCATCTTCCAACTGCTTGCAAATGTTTTCAGTGTGAGATTTCTCTTCCATGAGCTTCTTCCAGTTTGCTTCTGCAAGCTTTCTATTTGCCTCTGCTTTCACCATCTCTGAATCAGCATGCTTTTTCTCTTTGGTCACCTTGATTTTTTCTGCTTCGAACTTCTTGTTTGCCTCTTCAAACTTCAAAGTTTCAGAAGCCAACTTTGATCTTGCTAGCTCAGCTTCTTTCGTCAATGTCTCCAACTGAAGCCGATATTCCTCAGCCTTCTTCCACTCACTACTAGCATGCTTCCTCTCTTCCTCAGCCTTAGCCTTTTCAGCTTTCACTTGTTGCCATGCTTCAGCAGCTCTCTTCCTCTCCACCTCAGCCTTCTTCTTTTCAGATTCCGCCCTTGTCTTCTCTCTCTCATGAAGCTCCTTGAGCCTATTGATTTCCTTCTCCCCTTTAGAAACTTGATCTTGAAGAAGCTTAACCTCCCCATTTTTGTCTTCATCAACCATACTTCCCTTCTGCTGTAAGGATGATATTTCAGACTTTAGGGCAGAAATCTCATTTTCCAAAGAGACTCTCAAAGCCGCTTCTTTCTCTTTCCCCTCTTTCTCAGCTTTTACATGCTTCCATGCCTCTGCAGCACTCTTCTTCTCCACTTCAGCATTCTTCTTTTCAGAATCTGCTCTTAGTCTCTCTCTCTCAAGAAGCTCCTTAAGCCTACTGATTTCCTTCTCTCCTTTAAAAAACTGATCTTGAAGTAGCTTAACCTCTGTATTTTCAACTTCTGGAAATGCACTTCCCTTCTGATGTAAGGTGGATACTTCAGACTGGAGGGCAGAAATCTCCTTCTCCAATTTAACTCTCAAAGCCGCTTCTTTTTCTCTCCCCTCTTTTGCAGCTTCCACCTTCGCTCTCTCTTCCTCACAAGCTGCAAAAACAAACTAACTTATATTTCTATACCACATGCAAAAAAGTATACCTGCATGGTAGGTAGTACAATACAGTATCAAATAAAAGTAGCTTCCAACATGGCTTTTCCTAATCATTCATTCGAACATCACGCATCTTCTACACAAATTAACAAACTTGGCATTATCATCAGTACTAAATAACAAGTGAAATAGATATATTCAACCAAATAGAAAAATGGGCTATCAAAATTTCAACTTCAAATCAAAAGCCAACCCAACAAATCAATATTATAACAAGATCATCTAAAAAGAAAATCGAACAAAAAAAAACTCCATTAATTATTTTTCAAAAAACAACATATCTAACAACTACATCAAATCAGGTTCTTCAAAAAAAAATGAAACTTTTACCTTTATTGAGACTAACATTCTCAGCTTGAAACTTATCAGCTTGTTCAGTCAAAAGCTTAACTGCTTGCCTCAAACACTTCCTTCCTTCTTCCAACTTCCCACACTTCTCTTTCCACTAAATTCGAAAAAAAAAAACCACAAAACATTAATCATCGGAAATCCAAAAAACCAGAAAAAAAAACCATATTATAATATCAAATGCCACAAAACAATAACTTACCACTTTGCAGCATGGATTATTCACTGTGGCTTCCTTCTTTACTGAAACATCAGCAGCCATGGTTCTTCAAGAAAAACCAAACGCTAATTCATGAGGCATTGCTAGTTGGATTATTAATAAATAAAGGGACTTGATTTGACTTTGAGTTAGAGTGATAAATCAGAGAGGATAGAAAAACCCTAAAAATGGACGAGAAAAGAAAAAACCCTAGTAATTTAAGAAAAACAAGAGGGAAAAAATAAGAAACCTAAGTGGATACGGATACGGATACGGGACGAAATGGGCCGACTCTTCCTCAAAAATGGAAATTAGAACCAACATTTGGGCTTTTCTTTTTTCTTGTTTATTTTGGTTTCTGATTTGATATTCGATCCTGCACACCTCATTGTAAACGTCGATTTAACGTTGTCTGAGTTTTTAAAATTTTAATTTTTTAATTTAAAAATAATATTTTATTCGTATTTTTAAATTGCTTTGATGTGATGATATTTTGATGAGTTTTTAATATTTATATTTTTTAGTATTTTTAGATTATTTTGATGTGTTGATAATATTAATAATAATTTTTAAAATATAACTGTAATTATTGATAAATATATTTTTAGACATAGCTGGGGGTAAGCCTGAAGTTGATATTTAAAAATAAATAAAAATAAAAAGTTAAAGCTTATGTTTTGAAGATGGGATGGATTTTATTGAATTAATTAAATTTTTGTATTATTATTATATTAAAACTTGAATCATTCAATTTTTTTTCCGAGTGTAAACAAGCTTATGCACAAATCAAGATATCTTCGCTTCACATGCGTGTGATAGGTAGAGAGACTTTATGTGACTCCAAAAGCAATTATTAATAATATTATATGATTTGATTTTAAAGAGAGACATAAATAAAATACAATAATAGAAAGAAAATTCTGGTTAACAAAAACAATAAAACCCATAGGCTAATCATTGTAGAAAACAGTGTGTGTATTCATTGTGACAGTAAAAAAAAAATATTCTTTGAAAAAAAATTAGGGCTTTGGAGGGTGGTTTGGTTTTTCCAAATATTCAAATCATCATTCAAGAATTGTTGAAAGTTATTTTTATTTTTCTAGCTTTTTAACAGTTAAATTACTTGTTCATCTCATGATTAAAAATGAATTGTTGAAAGTTATTTTTATTTTTCTAACATTTCATGATTAAAAATTTATTGAATTGTTGGTTAAGAATATGTTTGTCTTTTTGTTTTTTACAAAATAATAAAATAACTTTCTTGCCACTAGAATTTTAAAAAATAAAAGCAAATGCTCAATGATAATTTCATCTTTTTAAATAGGTTTTTTAGTGAATTCTAGAATCGTAATAGATATTTTAAATTTTTTATACTTAATAATTAATTTTTAAATTAAAAGTTATAGTTTCACATATCAATGTACAAGAGGCATTCATATTTTTTAGATGGTGTATGTTATCTAGTAGCCAAAACTTGTGCTCTAATGTGTCTTTCAAGACACCACCTTATTTTTATTTTTTTTAGCATGGTATGAGACAATAAATAATAGGTGGTTTGTTATTGATGGTTATTTTTTTTCACCTTTTATTCTCTCTCTTCTAGAGAGAAAGCATGTTTGTTTTCTTTTCTTTTCCTTTATTTTTTTTAATTTCAGTTTTATATTTTTAATTATTTATTTTTATCATTAACCATTTAAGAAGTTTTTTATGTTTTCAATTTAGTTTTTAAATTACAATTTATCGTATATTAGTTTTTTAATTTTCACTTTATTCTTTTGATTTTTATTTTTTTTTCTTGGCTCTTTTGTTAAAATTTTATTAGTTTTCAATTTCACTCTTCAATCAAAGTTTATGTTTTTTTTTTTCAATTTAGCCCTTATTATTTTGATTTGTCTTTCCTTTTGTTAAAGTTTTTTTTTCAAATTAAATTTTTTTATATCTTCTAATTCATTTTTTATTTCGATCTCCATTCTTATTTTTCTAATTATAGGTTTTTGTATGATTATTTTTTCTTTAATTTTATCATTCGACATTTTATTTATCCAAGATTGGGCTTCATAATTTTTCTATTTATTATGCTTCCAATCTAATAACATGAGCCATAAATTTTAAGAGTTAGAATGGTTAGGGATCATTTTTTCCTCATTTTTTAATGATTTTATAAAAAAAATTAATTTTGTTTCTATCTTCAAAAAACATTCTATTGATTATCCCAATCTCATGACTTCAACAACGAGTTTTGCAGACCTTTCTTGGATAAAGGATATTTAAAAAAATATTTTGTTTTGTATTTAATTTTTGAAGAATTTTTTTATTTTATACAAATAAGATTTATTTTATTAAAAAATATTCATTTTGAAATAATATTTATAATATGTTTGGCCCTACATAAAAAAATCATTTTATTATATTCACTTAGTTTTATATAAGTTTCTATTTTAATTATCTTTTATTAATTTTAATAAATAAATTCAATAGACATGGATAAATGTTTTTATATTGTGAAATCAAATATCTTGATTTACAACTATTTCTCAATTTATCCATTTTTTTAGTTATTATTAACAAAAAAAATTATTTATTTATATAGATAATTATTGTTTTATTTGATTGGATGAGCTTTGCAATTTGTACTTTAAATCTTTTTGTGTAAAGAAACATATTGAAATAGCCTGTATACTTGGTTTTAAAAAAAAAAAGAAATCTACAACCCATGGTGAAGTGTTTGTGAAATAGCTAGTAACTCTTATTAGAAATAAAAAGCTTACAAAATAACATTCTCTTATATAGTAAAATGAATTTTCTAAGAATTGATAATTTAGATGTGTGTAAATATCAAAAGCGGGATGGAATATATGATAAGTTATTTACACATTTAATTTGAAAATAATTAATAAAAACTAAAATATACAGAGTTTTCATTAACATAAAATCATTGTTCACTATCTTATAAATTAGTGTGGATTAGTGGTGATATTTTTTAAAAAAATTCAATTTGATACTCGAACTTTATCATTGCATAATTAAGTCATTTTGAGCATAAAAATAGCACTAAATTTCATGTTTTTTTAAGGAGGGGAGAGTTGAATCGAAAGAATAGGGACTAAAGTGAAAAACTCGAGTAATATAAGCGTAGCTTTCAGATTTATTTGTAAAGTGCATTTTAATTGCTCAATTTTTTTTAATAAGATGACCGGTTCTTTTAATTTTTAAAAAATATATTTTTGTACCAAACTTTATTTTTTTTATTTTTCAGATTATTTTTTATAAATGGGAGAAAGAGGAGCCACCAAATCCCAAAAAAAAGAAGGAAAGCTCTTTGTTGGTGATAAAATTAGCGTCAACAAGTTTCACAAGATGAGGAGTCTTATGTTGTTTGTTTTAAGTCTTATTGTAGCTTACAAAGTTGATTTTAGTTCAAGGATGTAATTTTTCTAGTTTGATTTGGTGGTTCAGATTGTTTTTGGGTTTAATAGGTTGATAAATTGGTTTTCTTAGTTTTAAAAGGGTATTTATAAAATATTATGCGGTTAAAATGGGTTGAAAACCAGTTTTTTAGATAAAAAACATGTACGTTTAATTTTCTAGCCTCCACGATAATGGTCGGAATCTGAGTTAGCAGATGACATGTCATCTACAATAGCAGTGATATGTCGTCTGCCTATTCATTGTTTTTCAAACAATATAAAGCCAATGTTTGTTGTTTGCCCCTTAAAAAAAAAATTGTAGGGTCAGACATGCAAGTCTAGGTCTCAAGGCTTCTAAGCACAATTTTTTTTTTGGTATTTTTTTTCAATCAATAACCTTTTCTTTCTTTCTTTTTAAATATTTTTTTAGTTTGTTTTTTAATTAATAACCCTTGCATGTTATTTTTTGGGTGTAATTAGCTTTTTTAAATATAAATTATTTTTTAATTATGTTCGGTGTCTTTAATGTTTTTTGAAGTTAATATGATTCATTTGTAACATATTTTTACATATATTTATATAAATTAGATTTTTTATGATATTTTTAATATGTGTAACCTTATATAGTATTTCTTTTCTTTTATTTTATCAATAAATTTTATATGTCTGTGAATTTATGTTACAAATTAATTTTAATAAATAAATTTATCAAACATAACCAAGTAAACGAGTACTATTAAATATTTTGATTTATATTTATATTTTAATTTTCACAATTTTATTTTTTTATTATCAATTTTTTTATTAAATTATCTTAATTTCATGATGTAAAACACACGACAAACATATAATTTTGACATATCTCATATCTAAGTCATGAATTTCACGTGTTAACTAAGCTTTATAGGAGCAATTTTTTTCATTTTTTTAATTTTTTTGTCACATTTTAAATTGTATTATCAAACTAATCAAATTTTAACTTGATTATCAAATTTCTCTCACTTTTTTTAAAATACAATCATCTCCTAATTTTTTTTGGTTAAAAAATTTGGTCTGGCCCTTGCTAGATTGACTACTAGGCTTCCAATTAAATAATCTATATTTTCTTTGCCACTTTTGATGGAGGAAGTGTTCCAAACACTCTGTCCCACAATGATGAAGTGATTCCAAAGCCCTTATCTTGCACCCGGAAGTGATGATTCATGTGATATTTCTGCAAAAACAAACACACCCTTTATTAGAATTGACGAAAATAACAACATTCTTAAACACTCATGGGAAAAACTTTAAGGTAAATCATTGATGAGTGCCAGCTTTAATCACACAGACAAATTTTGTGATCAATGATCAAGCGAAACTACTTCCGGTTACAAATCTCCTAGGAACCAAAGGCATTTATTTATGGGGCTGACTGTAACCATTTAGAATTAATAATAAGATTACTGTAGTGATTCTAAAAGATTATATGATTGCTAATTAAAGAAGGAAAGGCAAATGGATGCTGTGCTGCTCTTACCTTGAGATTTTTTGGTACTTCATTTGCGGGCTGACCATGGTGCAGGTAGTAATGAGTGCAGTCGTATATCACATAGCCCAGTAAACCACCTCCAAAAAGAGCAGGAGTAGTTGAAGGAGTAGAAAACAACTTGACCATGTTCCAGAACTGGCCAAGACAAATTTACCGTAAAAAACCAATATGATTATGTATATAGAGCAGCTTTTATGAATAAAAACAGCACAAACAACTTAGCGTGTTCAACAAGAACAGAATCCAGTTGATAAAATTTTGGGAAAAATCCTGAGCGTAAACATTTGAAAATATTAAAGTGTTCAACAATCAAACACATTTTTTATCAACTATATGACATGGTAAAGCCACAATACACATACGGGCACCAAGAGAATAGCTGTTGCTGCTGGAGGAAAAACAAGGCGGAGACCATCCATAGGGTGCTTATGATGACAACCATGAAGAAGATAATGCATTGTGTTCCCCCTAAAGCAAGTTCAAGTTATCAGAAGACTATTCTACCATAACATAACTTTAAAGAAAGTAATAACTTCAGTGCACGAGTGCGAATAGAGAGGACTGACCAATAGCTTTTTGTTTTTATGTGGAAAAGGAAGCGATGCAAAGTGTATTCGAGCAATGTCCAAATGAAAACACCACCAACCACAATTAAGGCTACCTCGGGAAGCGTATGGCCCATCCTTACAGATTTTAAGACAAAATAGCATATAACAGGCAGCCAAATAGATGGAATTGCCCACCAAACTGTGCGTGTCAAGGACTGTTCCAAGTATAAGTGTCAAAGATGCAGTCATTTATTCTCAAAATATGCATTCAAATATGAAAATTCTGACTAGCATATATATGCACACATGACCTGTGATCATGTGGCAGATTGTAGATTCTATGTATGAGACAAAGCGGCAATACCTCCATAAAATCACTCTCAAAAAACCGAGGGCCTTCCCTGCTTACAATAGGCTGGTGGACCCATTCTTCATAAGCTTCTCCTAGATGGCCAACCTGCAATAAAACCTCAAGAATTTCTAATCGCTAACAGAATTAACAATGACAATATGAATAATGAAGCAAGCAGAAAAGTGCTTTGAAAAAGAAGCTTCCCTATGGCTGAATTAAAAAATCGATGATGTACCTGGAAGACAAGGGGCTTATCTAGATCGACAGTGAATTGGTTGACTTCAAGGCTAACTTGAACTTCGTGGTAACTTCCAACTTTGAAAGATTTTGTTATGCTGAGGAGATTTGAAGCCGCTTTTGACTTGTAGCAATAAGTTAAGGATTTTTCATGGCACAAAATTCAAAAGTTGATGCATTGACTAATATAATATGACAAATTCTTGATCTGACCTTTCCAGCTATGTCCTCAATTTCTTTCTTGGAGGGGTGGAGAAGCTTCTTCAATTGATGAATGAGAGCTTCCCCGAGCTTGGTTTAGCAAAAGATGATTGTCTTGAAACAAGCTGGATTGAGGCTATCATCCTTAACAGATTTCCAGGTAATACATCTTTGGAACTGTTGCTTGATAGGACTCCTCGATTTGTAACAAATTACAAAGCGAAATCTGATTACGTCAAGGAACCTATGCCTGAAATTGCGTTGGAAGGTATATTTGAAAGGTTATTGGAAGAGGACATTGAAACACCTAGACTGCTATTAGTTCCTTATGGAGGAAAGATGGACCAGATTTCTGAGTCTAGCTCTCCATTTCCACATAGAGCTGGAAATATATACAAGATTGAGCATCAGGTGTCTTGGAGTGAAGAAGGCAAGGAGGCATCTCAAAGACACATTGATTGGATTAGAAGGCTTTACAGTTACATGACTCCTTACGTTTCGAAAAATCCTCGAGAAGCATATATCAATTACAGGGATCTTGACATTGGAATGAATAACCTGGCAGGCAACACAAGTTTTAAACAAGCAAGCATTTGGGGCAGGAAGTATTTCAAGAACAACTTTGACAAGCTGGTACGCGTGAAGACCGCTGTTGATCCTGCTAATTTCTTCAGAAATGAGCAGAGTATTCCGCCTCTCTCGTCCTGGTGATCGGAGGGGGATAACACATGACAGGGTTGGAAGAAGATTCATCACACTAATAATATAATTTTCTGTTTTAGATGTCTATAAAGTTCACTTCATCAACAATTATTGCATGGCATTTCATGCATGGTCCAATATTTTGATCATTGTAATAAAAATAAATGTGGTCAATGGAGATATTTGAATTGAATGAATAAAATTTCCTTCTATGATGATCTAAATTGTGAGATTTCATTCAAATTAAATATGATATGTTGCTCTTGTATTCTTATAATTCGATCTTCTCCCTTGGCATAACGAAAAATTGGTCTTGGTCAATGCTCGTGCTCTTGAAGTGAGAAATGTATCAAAGGCTCAAATTCAAGAGAAAATTCGGATGTGTCTAATGAGTCTTCTGATAAAACAAAAAAAGGAACATAGATTTTAATCCTATTATTGGATAGGGATAAAATTTTATGAATGTGTTCTACACGTTTCTTATGAGGTTAGCTGGCTAGCATTAACTGAGGTGAAGAACATGTCCAAATTAAACCTAGAAAATGCTGTTTCGAAATTTTCTCTGGTTATTTTAGGATTCCTTTCTTAATCAGGTTTCAAAGTTTTATTTGATTTAGGTTTTTTAGGCTCCTTTTTAAATATTTTTATGTATCAGTTGAATATGATCATAGGGTAAGCATCAGCTGACACTATTATCTATATTTTTGAGGAAGATAAACAGAGAGGCAAAACCAAGAAAACAGAGTAGTTTATGAGAAGAAAACAGAGAAAACAGTGTTTTATTAATATAGAAACAGAGAAAACAGAGAAATTTCAATACTTAAAAAGACAAAGATCACCAAGGGCAGGTGTTGAAAGATCATTCTCTCTATTAAATATTTTTGAAAATGACATAAAGTCTATTCATTTACATGTCTAGAAATATGAGAAGCTTCCTTCAATGGTTGAATAAGCGTGTTCATCTGATTGCATGGTCGAAGATTACGACACACAAGGGCTTCTGAAGCCATCATTGAACAGTGTTAAGAAGTTTAAGTAAGAAGTTTAGCTGTGCCCAACGACATCAACTTTCTCAAGAGTCTAAGGTCCTTGTTCTATAGGAGGGCCAGCTTGTTCACATCAGAAAAGCCTTCAAAAAAGGGCTCAGAAGATACTGTCTGATTTAGTTTTATTATTTTCATTTTAATTTCAGATTTCAGCCTTAATATCGATTTTTGTTTTTACTTTTTCCATTTGTTTAGGGATTTTGATTTTCTTTTCTTGTAAGGGTCGATTTCGGACTTATTTAAAGGGTTGTAATTTGTTTTGAAGAGGTACATAATTAGAGAATAATTTACTTAGTAATTAAAGGAATGGATAGGGTTCCTGTTGTGGACTCTTTTCGTGAATCCTAATCTGAATAGGTTCAGCCGTCTCAAAGACCAAGCAGAAAATAGAGTAATTTGAAGATAAAAACAGAGTAGATGAGAACAAGAAAGCACACTAATTTCAAAGTGACAAGGGCAAAGGTTACTAAGGGCACGTCTTGAGATGGATGATCATCGAAACCACCTATTAATTGCAGGTATCCAAGAAATTTCTCCTACTTTGAAAGACTGGGACAGGCGAGGAGATTTGAAGCACTTGCTGCAAAATTCAAAATCTTGGCATTGAATACTAAATATTGAAATAGAATATATCAAATAATTTGAAAATAGTGCTTACTAAGAACCGAGAATTCGCAGATAATATTTTTTATGCAGGTAAGTCATGAAGGAAAAGCTTAATTATATTATCAGTCAGTTTTTTACTACGAGTTTCTTGCGGAGGAAGTTCATTTTTTTATTAAATTCTTAATCTATTTGGAATCCCAGCTCTTCTCATTTTAATTTGCTTGTTTCTTAAGCTAGAATTCTCCTTTACACTATAAATTTGGGACTGCCTTGCAGGTTTCTCCACTCAAAAACCATAAGCGCATAGTAGAAAGAAAAATGACTTCTCTGAGCTCTTCAATGCTGCCATTTCTAATTTGTCTTCTCTTTTCGTTGTCATGTGTAACATCAGCTCGTCCTCATGGAGATTTTCTTCAATGCCTTTCCCTTCATTCTGAGGACTCCACAGCCATTTCTAAAGTTATTTACACGCCAAAAAATTCATCATATTCTTCTATCTTGCATTTCTCTATACGAAACCCCAGGTTCAATTCTTCTGAACTGAAACCTTTTGTCATTGTCACACCAACGGATGCATCGCACATCCAGGCTGCCATCCATTGTTCCCAAAAACACAAGTTAGAAATTAGAATCCGGAGTGGCGGTCATGATTTTGAGGGTCTATCTTACATGTCTACTGTCCCATTTGTCATTGTTGATCTGATCAATCTTAGATCAATCACTGTTGACGCAACCAATAAAACTGCATGGGTCCAGGCTGGTGCAACACTAGGGGAACTTTATTATAGAATTGCAGAGAAAAGTAGAACTCTTGCTTTCCCTGCCGGTTCTTGCCATACTATTGGTGTTGGAGGACACTTTAGTGGGGGAGGATATGGCATGATCTCTCGCAAATACGGCCTTGCTTCAGATAATGTGATTGATGCTCAATTAATTGATGCTAAAGGAAGGATCCTTGATAGAGAATCAATGGGAGAAGACCTATTTTGGGCCATTCGAGGCGGTGGAGGGCAAAGCTTTGGAGTGGTTATCGCATGGAGAATCAAGTTGGTTGAAGTTCCACCAAAAGTGACCGTCTTTACTGCAGCAAGAACCTTGGAACAAAATGCAACCAAGCTCATCTATCGGTGGCAATACATTGCGAATCAGCTTCCTGAAGACATCATCATCGATGTGCTTGTAAGCAGAGTTAATTCTAGTGAGGAAGGAAAGTCAACAATACAAGCTGCATTCTTTTCCTTGTTTCTTGGTGAGGTTGACCAGCTTCTTCTTTTGATGCAAGAGAGCTTTCCTGAGCTTGGTTTGGCCAAAGATGAGTGCACGGAAATGAGCTGGATTGAGTCTGTCATCTACATTGGTGGACTTCCAAGCAACGCATCCTTGAATGTGTTACTTGACAGGACTCCTCAACCCTCATTACCATTGAAAGCAAAATCTGACTACGTTCAGGAACCTATACCTGAAATTGCATTTGAAGGGATATGGAAAAGGTTCTTTGAGAAAGACATCGAGATGCCTCTATTTTTCATGTTCGCTTATGGGGGGAAAATGGATGAGATTTCGGAGACCAGCACTCCATTTCCTCATAGAGCTGGCAATCGATACATATTTGCCCCCGTAGTGTCTTGGAGTGAAGAAACCAAGGAGGCATCCCAAAGGCATCTAGCTTGGATCAGAAGGCTGTACACGTACATGACTCCTTATGTTTCAAAAAATCCTCGAGAAGCATATGTCAATTATAGAGATCTTGACCTAGGAGTGAACAACCCGGGATACACGAGTTATAAACAAGCAAGCATTTGGGGTCGGAAGTATTTCAAGAACAACTTCGACAGGTTGGTTCGCGTTAAGACTGAAGTTGATCCTACCAATTTCTTCAGAAATGAACAGAGTATCCCACCTCTCTCATCTTGGTGATCAAAGGGAGCTACTTGGAGATTTCGCTAAAACAAGATTAATGCTAATAATAATACTTCTCTTATGTATGAGATTTCAGCATGGCCCAATAATAATTTAGATCATGTGAATTAGTTCATAAAATTTCCTTTTGTAATGATCTAAAGTGTGAGATTTCACACAAATTCAATACGATGTTGTCTTTTGTATGTTAAAAATTCTGATTTTCTTCCTTGTCAAAAAAGTTGATCCTCATCAAAGATTATATCCTCGAAAATTTATTTTAATTTTCTTCCACCTTGTCATGAAAACTTCCTCCAATTCCATCATGGCTGTGAAGGCAAGGTTCAGCCTGATGTCTATTCTTTGCTCACTTCCTTTTTGAGTGTTGCAGAACTTTATATTTTCTGCTTGGTCATTTATAATTGAAGATGAAGGAATGGAGAACAAAACATCATCAAAAGTAATCATCTACTTGGAAATTTCTAGTTATTTAGCTTTAAAATAGTTTATAGACTCAAGACAGACAGATACAGGACCTAAACAAAGAACAACAGAGTAGTTTGTAAATAGAAACAGAGAAGACGGAGCAGGTTCAGATCACATGGCACAGGTTACAGAGATCAAGCCCTGATAATTATGATCAAGCCACATATTAAATTTGAATATGATAAATAATTTTTTCTTCGAAAATGACAAGAAAAATTCAGAACTTCAAATGACTAATAGCATTTTAAACTTCTTTAATATAATGGGTTGAATAGTTGTGCTTATCAGAAATTGGTGGCAAGTTCGAATAATGACATGCAAGGAAATCTGAATCTGCTATCGAATTATAATAAAAAGATATATAATTTCTAAAGCCAATTTTCAAATCAAAATCGAAATAGAAAATGTCGAATACTAGGAAAGAGTTATTTTAATAGTTACATTGGTAGACAACATGATCAAAAAAAAATTTCCAAGAAATTGTGGAAATCTTTTTTATTTTAACAATCAATTTCTTACTTCAAGTTTCTTGTGTGGCAAGTTTTTGGTTAAGTTATTAATTGATTTGAAATCTTTATTTTTTTTTCATGGCTGTGTGGCAAGTTTTTGGTTAAGTTATTAATTGATTTGAAATCTTTGTTTTTTTTTCATAGCTGTTGGACCTGTCCAAAGAGCTAACCATGAAAAAAGACTTCGGTCCTAGAGCTACGTAAGGTGTCAACTTATGAGTCATTAATTCAATATAAATCAATTGTTTTTTTAATTAAAATGATATTATTTAATTCTTATTTTTTCTTAAATATTTTTTTGTGGTTATTAAACTTTTATTAAATTCAATTAAATTTTTTTTTTAATTGAGTTCTTCAACATACA